AAGTGCCTGTTAGCATCACACCACCGTGTATGCTAACCCCACTCCAGTGGGGTTTACATACACTGTGGTACGAGGCTAAGGTTCACATCGCAGTGTATGTGAGACCCACTCCAGTGCCTGTTAGTCCCAACCCAAAGTTTACGTAAGCCCCACTCCAGTGCTTGTTAGCCCCACACCACAGTGAATGTAAGCCAAAGTCCAGTTCACCGGAGTCTTCTGATTCATTCAAGCAAGTTAAATTCAGTGGTAACCATAAATGCTTGACAGATTGTCCATGCTTTTAATATTACCATGCACAGAAAGTGCACTCCACAGACTACTACTTAAACAAAAAAAGCGTACATTTTTTTCCCACTCAAATCAATTTATGCCTTTCATTAATGCAAAACAGATTCCTAGGTTTACAATATGATGAAAATGAAATCTTTTCGGTACAATTGTTGTGCTAGAGTAAATATTTTTAAGCAGAATATTAATCTTTTAAATAGATTTGTGCCAGAGGCTGTCTTTGCCTGACAAAGATACAGGCATAGTATCTTACCTGTTAGCGTTTACTGATTTATTTGTGTATCTACTGTACAGACAATGGGCATAATTAATTGACAATATTAAATGCCTTCACACTAGGTTTTCAAAATTAGGTACAGCCTATCAGAATCCCTAGGTAAATGACGAGTGAGTGGTCACTGCCCATATTCTCATGTAGATATCATGTTTAAAAAGAAAATATCTCTCGGAGTATAGCTACGTTGCCGTAGTAACCATACTTCAACCTGCCATTGAAGTAAAGTTCTGACTGTGTGAATAAAACTAAAAGTTCTCCGAGAAACTCTATTTATTTGATTGTTGTTAATAAATTGATAAACCTATTTCATAGATAACAAGGGGTAATTCATTACTGTGCCACCAGGCCAACTGTATACTGGATTATCCATTAGTTGCTGGGGACATAGTGTAATCAGGGTCGGGGATGGTGGTTGGGGGATGTATTTCCTAAATCATCCATCAGCATGTACATGCACCTGACGTATATACAAGTATAATAAAGAAATCAAAACCAGATTAACTCATATTTTTCTAAATTTTCCTTATTGTAGGAAGCTTAATATTTTCATAAAAAAAAAGTATAAATGTATAGCGAAACTTACCACATTAACCCATATCACATAACAATAACCGTTCTCTCATCCTGGCACTACAACTGATACAAATCTAACTATGATAAACTGTACTTATAAACCATGTTATTTGAAATAGTACAGATATCTATGGATTTCTATACATTCATCAGATATAGTGTACAACTCTATTTACATGTATATGTACACTTAATATTTCAAGCAATGAGAAAATTTAGGTTTATCGATATATTGAAATATTCAGTCCAATGAGTGTTTCCTTACTCTTTCAATTTTCATATCAAGAGTTTAACCCATGACATTAAAACAATTGTTGAAATATGTACTTCAGTCTTTTAAAGATGGGTTAACACTGTAATGCATTGGAGTAAACATTGCTGTGCGCTGGAGTTAACATCGTTGTGCACTAGAGTTCACATCGTTGTGCACTAGAGTTAACATTGGAGTAAACTTCAATGTTGTCTTGAACATTTCCTTGTTCACTACTTGTGCACTACATAGTGCACTTGATAGCAAGCACTGGACACAAGCACAAAATATGCACAATACATATAATGTACAATTTATCAATGAGTACACATTTAAAATTGGAAACAATATACACGTTATACACAATTCTTAACATACAATGCGTAATAAACACACCAGCGACAAGTTCAAAATAAACACAAATTCACAAAAAATATACAAGATACACTGTAGATAGCATATACACATTCATCACAATAATCCAAATTTACACATTTAGGAAACGCATTCAATATACAGGGATTCGTGGAATTTACAATAAAATAAGATTGCAATATATCCTTGACACATTATACACTAGTATATATCATATCCTGTATTCACAATCGGGGTCAAAGAAGTAATATCAACGGTAACCTCCCAAATAACACTGGGTCCTTGCAAACGTATGCTTGTAATATACGAATTACTTAAAATTGGTATATTGGGCAATATTCACAATATACACAAGTACAACATATATTTACTGAACATAGTATACATCACATACTCTTGGACAAAATGCATAGTAATATATACATTGTATTAAGAATTAACAGGAATAGCATTTTTTGTTCATATTGGTAAAATATTGACATGATACAATTTTTTTAACATATATTATATACCATCAATTCATTACATTTTGCTAAATGTTAATTTAAATCTTGATTGCGTCTTATATTTCTCTCTACACAACGGGATAGGCCCTAACATACCTATTGCTATGAATGATCAGGTCCTGCTGTATTACTACTTAATTTTATAACGTACACAGACTAAGTTCTAACTGTAATGTGGAGCATACAAAAATGTAACAATAGAACCGATGATGAACACCACCATGTTGTTTCGCAATCTTGTTGATTATCGATAGCTTAAACATATAAAATTAATCGACAAGGCGCGATCACATAGCTTGGTGTCCTGTGATAATCTCCCCAGTATATGCGAGAGTGTTCTCCTTTGGCTGGCCTCGTGACGCGATGTCCAGTACAGTCGTTTTAATTCTGGAAAGGGATCTGTTTTGAATTTGTGAACACGATTTAACTATTTTCTATGGTACTTACTATATCTGTTGGAGCTATCACATACTAATGTTATGATCTGGCTATCTTGTTACCTGTCCGGGACAGGTTTCTTCTATTTAACATGGCTAAAATGGCGACGGTATTGTATATGTGAACAAGGAAGGACATCGATTATGTTTTATTTTACTATCACAGACACAAGTAGTTACCTGAATATTTGGTGAAAGGATATAACGTGTATGTAGCAGGAAGTAACTATTCCAGTCACGGAAAACACGAATAGCTTCGAGATTAATCAGAACATGTGTAACATGGTTTCTTTTTTATTTCATGACGATGACTTCTAGTACCCTGCGTAAATATTCTGAATACGATTTGTATATTAATACGACTTATATGCTTTATACTGTTTTTGGAAATATACACATGACAGCAACGTCCCTTCAGTATTAATATCGTTCTTCATGTTATTTTGTTATTGTTTTAAGACAAAAAAGGAAAACATCATATAATACGTAAAAGGTGATCTGTTGATTAATTCATTTCATCATAATATAATATTTACATTTGCCCCCGCGCCGTCCCATTACAACAGTGTTAGAGGGCAACTGTAATTACATAGGCTATAATTACAACTGCTCGACTATAATTACAACTGCCTGTTTCAGGTGTAGGAATATGTAAACAAACAAAATGGCCGCCTGAAATGTATTTTGAGGCAGGGCAAATGGTTTTTGTAGGAATATGTCTTAAAAAAGAAAAATGTATAAATATAAAAAAATACCTGGTTGTCTGGATGTAATTATTGTTGATATAATTACAAGTGGTCTCTGGCAAATCTACAATTTAACCCTAGCGGGTTTTATGGGATTTGCCAGAGGCCACTTGTAATTATATCAACAATAATTACATCTAGACAACCAGTTATTGTTTAAATAGAGTTTCACAGATTCAAAGTAATAGGGGAGTCTGGAGAGGGTATGCAACTGTTGTCACTCCGTTTAATCTATGTCGTAATCGTATAGTTTTTGGTTATTATTACGAGCCAACGACTTCCCCTGTAGTCCTCTCTAGACCTCGACACTTCGTCAGGTTGCAGACCTGTTTTCAGTACAGGTTTGTACGCTGGATGAATTGGTAACACAAGCAGTCGATTCATTAACTCAACAAGGTGTTTCAAAATACAGATAACTATTAATTAACAAGCAGAAATGAATATATATAATAAGTTTAACAAAGGAAGATCATAGCATTAGCGCCAAACAATGACAGCTAATGCTAAGAAATTCAATCCCTACCCCTTTTTAAAAAAATATATATTTTCAGCTTGGTAAGTATGGGTTATAAACAGTTCTTCTTACACAACCAATAACATTTTCTATGTGACGTTTCGATGACTAGTACTATATGTACACTGTTACATTCATCGGAAAAATGACCAGTGAAGCGTATGAACACAAAGGTGCAAATTGTGTACGAGTTGTCCACACAAACGATGTCAATTCGGCTACGCTGTAAGCGTATGTACAATAGTTGATGTACAAAGCGTAGCTGAATCGAGTCATTTCGGTAAAACAGTTGTTACATCATCATTATTGTACGTTGCTACTTTGTTTTGGTTGATAGGACAACATCGCAGTTCAAAGATTGCATAGACTGAAGAGCTTTAATGTAAGGAGGATATGTCAGGTTGACTTTGTATTATTACTGAAACATCTATTGGCTAGATTAACGCAATAATATATCCGAATAACATATCAACACGCCATGAAATACAGATTTTTTTAGGAAGCGTAAAACAACATATCAATTCAAATATTCCTGTAACCGACTAATCCATCATCCATAATGATGTTTTTTCCTATAAATAAAGACAATTGCTACGCGTATTCTAATAAACGAGCATATTATTATGTTAAATCTAATAAAGAATTAAAAACTGTGAACATTCTCATAATCTGACCATAAACAATATACAAACGGTTGTAATAACAAGGCTATCTTTGAGTTTCTCCTGTTTTATGTGTATTGAACTTACAACTATAGACGTAAAGCTATGTACAGTTACACCTGGTATCATAAAGGCAATTTAAGCGATCTGGATTTTTATATTTCTAAAATATACTTCCGGGTACTTAAAAGTATTTTTAACATATGTACATCATATACATATTGACATAATGAATACAAGTGCACGATATACACTATACTCACAAATACAAATAAAAGAAAATACACCAAAATACATAGGATGATAATGAAAGTCTATAAGGATTTAAACGTAAACCTTTTTTTATTTCTATTTCCATACCCCCATCCCAAAAGGAATTCTCGACTTAAGTTTGACGTGTTATGGTTAGCATACTGAACGTAGATCACACTGTTGATTCTGGAAAAGATTTTTCACCGGATATTCTGTTTCCATTATTAATTCGTTTCAACAACTTTTTCCAAAATCCCTTTGTACATGTAGCTGTGGTGAGCTTATTTTCATCAGAACTGTGTTCGTCAGACCATATAATAGGACGTATTTCATCCCAGTTTTTACGAATAAGTTTCGGAAATTCACTTCGTCTCATATCATTCAATAGAATAATGACATTCATATGTTCTCGTCCGTCACGAAAACAATACACACTGGTTAGTTTCATTGTGAAAGTTTGCCATTCGTTCTTAAAATAATTGCAGCTAACAACAAAAACAGACTTACGTGATTTATCGATAGCATTCATAATGTTGTCACATTTGTCATATCCCGCATCGAAATCTTTTTCATCGATACAGTATTCAATATTTTCCTGCTCTAGCCAAGGAACAAGTATTTGAGTGACCCATCTAGCATCCTCATCGCAGTAGGTTATAAAGACATCGAATGGAAATACTTTATATTCCAAAGGCTGTCTACACCACACCCTCAATTTCACACTGCGTTTCCAGGCCACTCTGGATAGGAAAGCGGTAAAAACGATAACGACGATCAATATCAGAGATATGATTAACCAGAATTGAGAAGCACAACTTTCCTGAAATTGACCAAAAGTTTGAAGGAACGTCATTACCTTTATCTGACTGCCATCTGGTGTACTGCATAAAATATCGTCTCTGTTATGTAACATGTTGGTTGTGCCAACCCAGTCAAGAAAGTCTAATACTTCACAGCTGCACAACAACGGGTTTCCAGACATATCGACTTTGAATGCGGGAGATTTAGTTTGATGTGTATCCAGAAGTGCAATGTCTGATTTTGTCAACGATGATATGAAATTATGACTTACATCCAACATTTCTAACGCATGAAGTTCCATCAAGATGTGCGTTTGAAGGCTAATCAATTTATTTGAAGCAAGAATTAACGTTTTCAGTGAATATTGCTGATCTGAAAATATTTTGGGGCTCAATAAATCTATGTTATTGCCGGTAAGATCCAGGATAGTGAGATTGTATCTTCCTTTGAATAATAAACTGTTGTCTTTCGCAAGCGCATGTCCGAGGTTACATTGCTTTGCCTCTAACGTTGAAAGGTAAGGCATATCGCCAAACATTTCCTGATTAGGTTTTGAACACTCATATCCTGATATGTAAAATTCTGTTAAGTTGACCAAACCTTTTAAGCGTCCATAGGAACACGACGAATGCCTCAACGGATAACTTATATCGAGAACTTCGAGACTGTTACTTTCATGAATTGATATATTTAAAAGTGATTTACTTAAAGGGACTCGGGATATGTTCAGATATACAAGAGAATGGGGTAGAAAAATCGTAGGTTCGTGTCTAATCGTTGCTGAACGTTTCCTGTAATTTCGAAAAATTTGATTTGAACCATAAACATGAGTAATAGATGGAAACAATTCCAGCAGGGAAATAGTTTGATAAGAATCGATATTGTTTGAGGATAGGTCAAATATTTCCAGGCATTTCCTACTAGACCATGACAATACAGCCCCAAATGTTATACCCTTTATAGTATTTCTAGTAAGATCAAGGTTCCGAACACATATTGTGCGTAGATATAAGAAGTCCAATTTCACCAACAATACACTACTAGTAGAAGTAAAGAAGTTGCCTGTTAGTGCTAGATATTCCATTTTTCTCTGTTGTAATCCGTAAAGTGTTGTTGTCAGGACATCTCTGATTTCCATTGTTCGCCTTGAATCAAAGTAGAGTGATACTAGATGGCGAAATGGGGACAATGCGTTTATTTCAAACATTTTCATAGGGAATTGTAAAGTCAAATGAGATATGACTGTCCGCTCAAGTCCAAGGAATGTCGAATTAAGTAATGCTATTCTTCTATGTGTAACGTTATTTAATTCTATTTGTTTCAGCTTGGTCCAATTCGAAAACCCAATGCCGAAACGGAATCCGTTAAAAACGTCTATTTTTAGAGTTTCAACCTGTGACAAATACGGCATTGCATGCTCTGGATAGCTTTTCTTTAGACGAAACCTATTTTGTCGTAAATCCAGTTGTGTCAAACGTATTAAAGGTTGAAAAGAAAATACACCAAACGATGAATTGTCGAGAAGGTTGTTGGATAAATCGAGGAATTTTAGGTTCTGCAAACCATCAAATGCTCCAGACGAAATCTTTAATAATCCGTTTGATGATAATATCAGACTATCTAGTTGTTGTAGATATCTGAATGAATCCTGATGTAATACAGTCAGATTGTTGTTTTGTAGATTTAACACAGTCGCGTTAATTGGTAAATCCTCCGGTACAGTTTGTAGACGACATCCTATGCACTTGACATTTATCAAAGTTCCTATGGTGACGATATTACAGCAACCAGTCAATCCAGCTAGAAAATAGATAGAAAAGTATCAACAAGTGTTACATTGTAAGATCATGTCAATTTTGTTTTTATATTTTTAATGTTATTATATCGCAGGTAACAGACAGGTGTCCATATTTTGAATTACACCAGGGCAAAACAGAACAAAGGAAAGATTTAATGAAAACCCTTAAGAAAGAACAAGAGGAAATAGACCTGGTGTTTCGTAAAGTTAAGTGTTATATTCTCCATCGACGACACACGCCATTAATTTTAATGTAGGTCTAATCCAGGTAAAATCACCTTTCCGAATTATATGGAGATTTTTGTTTTACTATTGATTTTATGTTTTATTTAACGTCATAGAATAAAGTAAACATATATGATCTTATACGGCCGTTAGGACATTCAATGTTTATAAAATCTTAATTTGAATATTTAACACGTCTAACGTTACTGTGCATAAAACAAGATAGGTCCAACCATTTCTAATAAAGCAATACAAAGTTTTGTTGGAAATCACAGAGTATTTGATACATTACCTGAAATGTAGAACATGCCGAAAGAGTAGATGGTGTACAAAGTGATATTGTTTCCCATCTTGTGAACTGTTGGTAACTTAAACTTATAACATTAAAGCACCTCTCGTGATCTCCTTGCCTGACGTTTTGCGATATTTCCCCCGGCATGTACGTCTCTCCTTTTGCTTGATTCGTGACGCAATTCGTTTTAATTACGGTAGATGATCAAGGTCAAGTTTGTAGTGACGATAAAACTGCTTCCTGAGGCACCTTAAACTTTACAGTTATCATGGATGTGCATTGTGATACAATGTTGACGCTGATAAAGTACGTCGGTTAGGGTACATTTTCATAAAAGGTAGTCTTTATGGTATATAATTGATACCCGTTTAAGGAAATATAAAGGGCGTCATGACTAAAAGCTTTGTTCTTTTCCCTCTTTGTCTGCAAATGCATTACAACGCACAATCAAAAAGCAGAATTTAATACTTCCTTACAAATTCAATACCACTGTAGTATATAATGTAAGGGATTCTAGACAGATTTCTTTTATTCTCCTATGAATTTCAGTTGTGACGATAATGTAGGTCAATGTCGATTTTATCATACAGGAAGTAGATATGATTAACTAACACTTTTAAAGGTCCAATCACATAAGTGTCTCGCGTGTACCTTTCAATCAACAAATTGTAGACTCTGCTTGTAGATTTCCAAGTCAAGGAAGTTTTCCCCAACCCTGATGACGACAATAATTCATTTGAGTTGTAGCACTGCTCATAATATACACATTTGACTCACTCATTATTAATTTGAAATCAACCAGTGCTCCTGTAACTTGTATAATGTTCATAAGGTGTTTTACAGTAGTTAAGACCGCTTTGGATTGCCAATGTTTTTTCGACTAGCATTACCGATAGGTCCTAAAGAGACCAAACATTTACATGGTGCAGTGAAATACATGTTTGGCATACTGTGCAAATGGTTAGAATCAGATGTTTGAGCCTTACATTCAACTTCGTTTAAAAAAAGGTTAATCACGTTACTCAACACACCATATACTTGTAAGTCCAGTTCCAGTGACTGTAAGCCCTAACAAAATTGACCTTTGCCATAGTCGAATAATTATAATCTATCTGACAAGTTCTTGTTGACCCTGTCCCCTAACTATTCAGTTTCTACTACAGTTCTTTTAAGCCCTACACCGCAGAGCATGTCAGCCCTGCTCCAGTGCCTGTAAGCCCTACACCGTAATGTATATTAGCCCCACTCCAGTGCCTGTAAGCCTCACAACGTAGTATATGTTAACCCCACCACAGTCCCTGTAAGCCGCACACCGTAGTATATGTTAGCCCCACTCCAGTGCCTGTAAGCCTTACACCGTAGTTATGTTAGCCCCACTACAGTGTCTGTAACCTCACACCATAGTATATGTAAGCCCCACTCCAGGGCCTGTAAGCTTCACACCGTAGTGTATGTTAGCCCTCTACAGTGCCTGTAAGCCTCACACCATAGTGTATGTTAGCCCCCTACAGTGCCTGTAAGCATCACACCGTAGTGTATGTTAGCCCCACTACAGTGCCTGTAAGCATCACACCGTAGTATATGTTAACCCCACTCCAGTGCCCGTAAGCCTCATACCGTAGTATATGCTAACCTCACTCCAGTGCCTGTACCCTCACACCATAGTGTATGTTAGCCCACTACATTGCCTGTAACCTCACACCATAGTATATGTTAGCCCCACTCCAGTGCCTGTAAGCCTCACACCGTAGTATATGCTAACCTTACTCCAGTACCAGTACCTTCACACCATAGTGTATGTTAGCCCACTAAAGTGTCTGTAAGCCTCACACCATAGTATATGTTAACCTCACTCCAGTGTCTGTAACCTCACACCGTAGTATATGTTAGCCCCCTACAGTGCCTGTAAGCCTCGTACAAATTGTATATGTAAGCCCCACTAGAGTGCCTGTAAGCCTCACACCGTTGTATGTTAGCCCCACTACAGCGCCTGTAAGCATCACACCATAGTATATGTTAACCTCACTACAGTGCCTGTAAGCCTCACACCATAGTATATGTTAGCCCCACTACAGTGCCTGTAAGCCTCACACCGTAGTGTATGTTAGCCCCACTACAGCGCCTGTAAGCATCACACCATAGTATATGTTAACCGCACTACAGTGCCTGTAAGCCTCACACCATAATACATGTTAGCCTCACTCCAGTGCCTGTAACCTCACACCATAGAGTATGTTAGCCCACTGCAGTGCCTGTAAGCCTCACACCGTAGTATATGCTAACCTCACTCCAGTGCCTGTACCCTCACACCATAGTGTATGTTAGCCCCCTACAGTGCCTATAAGCATCACACCGTAGTGTATGTTAGCCCCACTCAGGTCCCTGTAACCTCACACCATAGTATATGTTAACCCAACTACAGTGCTCGTAAGCCTCACACCGTAGTGTATGTTAGCCCCAACAGATACTCAAATCTCACACCATAGTATATGTTAGCCCCACTACAGTGCCTGTAATCTCACACCATACGATATGTTTTAGCCCCACTAAAGTGCCTGTAAGCCTCACACCATAGTATTTGTTAGACCCACTCCAGTGTCTGTAACCTCACACCGTAGTATATGTTAGCCCCTTTAGCGCCTGTAACCTCACACCATAGTATATTTTAGCCCCACTCCAGTCCCTGTAACCTCACACCATAGTATATGTTAACCCAACTACAGTGCTCGTAAGCCTCACACCGTAGTGTATGTTAGCCCCAACAGATACTCAAATATCACACCATAGTATATGTTAGCCCCACTACAGTGCCTGTAATCTCACACCATACGATATGTTTTAGCCCCACTAAAGGGCCTGTAAGCCTCACACCATAGTATTTGTTAGACCCGCTCCAGTGTCTGTAACCTCACACCGTAGTATATGTTAGCCCCACTACAGTGCCTGTAATCTCACACCATACGATATGTTTTAGCCCCACTAAAGTGCTTGTAAGCCTCACACCATAGTATTTGTTAGCCCCACTCCAGTGTCTGTAATCTCACACCGTAGTATATGTTAGCCCCTATAGCGCCTGTAACCTCACACCATAGTATATTTTAGCCCCACTCCAGTCCCTGTAACCTCACACCATAGTATATGTTAACCCAACTGCAGTGCCTGTAAGCCTCACACCTTAGTGTATGTTAGCCTCAACAGATACTCAAATCTCACACCATAGAATATGTTAGCCCCACTACAGTGCCTTTAATCTCACACCATAGCATATGTTAGCCCCACTAAAGTGCCTGTAAGCCTCACACCGTAGTGTATGTAAGCCCCCTACAGTGCCTCTCCAGTGCCTGTAAGCCTCACACCTTAGTGTATGTTAGCCTCAACAGATCCTCAGATCTCACACCATAGAATATGTTCGCCCCACTACAGTGCCTTTAATCTCACACCATAGCATATGTTAGCCCCACTATAGTGCCTGTAAGCCTCACACCTTAGTGTATGTTAGCCTCAACAGATATTCAAATCTCACACCATAGAATATGGTAGCCCCACTACAGTGCCTGTAAGCACCACACCATAGTATATGTTAACTTCACTCCAGTGCCTGTACCCGTTGAATGTTAGCCCCACTACAGCGCCTGTAAGCCTCACACCATAATACATATTAACCCCAATCCAGTGCCTGTAACCTCACGCCGTAGTATATGTTTGTCCCCTACATGGTCTGTAAGCCTCACACCGTAGTATATGCTGACCTCACTCCAGTGCCTGTATCCTTACACCATAGTGTATGTTAGCCCTATATGTTAGCCCCACTAAAGTGGAACTGCAGTGCCTGTAAGCCTCACACCTTAGTGTATGTTAGCCTCAACAGATCCTCAGATCTCACACCATAGAATATGTTCGCCCCACTACAGTGCCTTTAATCTTACACCATAGCATATGTTAGCCCCTCTAAAGTGCCTGTAAGCCTCACACTGTAGTATATGTTAGCCCCACTAAAATGCCTGTAAGCCACACATCGTCGTATACGTTAGCCCACTCAATGCCTGTAAGCCTCACACCGTAGCGTTTGTTAGCCCCCTACAGTGCCTTTAAGCTT